TTTAAACCTACTTTTAATCAAACGAGGTAACATAGCTGATTAATATAACAAAATAAAACTTTTCTTTATCGACATTCCCACTATTGAATTGTGATACAGGAAAGGCTTAGGCTTTCTTGAAATTCACTTCATCTTTCTGACCCAAGAGCATTTGGGGCAATGTGACGGAGTGATTAATGTGCTCAAACTATACGCTGAACTGCCCGAGTTCGAGTCCCGTTGGCGGTACTTCTGAGACTATACGAGGTCAAACCTGCAATCCAGTTCAGCCTTGATGGGAACACCTTTTTAGAAGCAAATTTATGTGAAATTCAATGGTAACAGGAGGTTACACATAACGCTGTGAACAATGCATCTCCAGTCTATTATCACCTTAAATGAAATGGAGTAAAAACATCTTATATAAGTGGTATTTTATCCTTATACGTTGTCGGTATTGGTGTGGATTAGAGAGAGAGAAAGAAAGAGGGAACAACGAGTACGCCAAGCATGGGAATTTGCTTTGAATCTGTTTTTTTCACTATCAAGCCCCACACAAGACGCGTTCAGTGGAGTGCATTGGCATGCGCCAAGATTGCAGGATGAAGAATGAAAGCGATTTCTGAGAGTTTGCGGCTACTCGGTCAGCATTGAATCCATTTCACATAACATCTGCAGCTACTTCAATTTTCGGCATAGGAAAAGCATAGGCTACTCAACCAAATCACGAAATATTTCAGTAAGGCGACAAAGTCAGACTATAAGAATTGAGTAAGATGGCAGCCGGACATCTTTCTTCACTTCATGTTTTGGTGAAATACCACAAGGTATGGCGTTCTGCTCTGATGACTTCTGTCACATAACGGAGAAGGTTCAATTAGGAGTCATCGGGGTCGCAGGGCTTTGCGCCGAGGACCTATTCGCACAAATCTACAGTCATAGTTCCAAGGAAATCCTAGTTCATCTTATTGAGAGGTCAACTTATGAATATCTTCCACTCACCTCTTCAAACGATAGGAAACACATGCAAGCATCAATCTGCTCAGAGTTTTTTCGAGACCCAGCTTTTGCTCATTCTAAATCAAGAAAATTTGACTTTGACTTCTTCACGTTGTGCTAACCTGAACCTTCCGTAAAAATGAGATCCAGCTCTGAAAATGTCTCTCAGATTTTTCGTTTATAAGCAGAGTTTCGAGACTACCAGTAAATCAATGATATGAGATGTATTCACCCTATTTCGTGTAAAGTGATAAAGGACTGGTAGTTGAATTTTCCCACAATAATATGAGTAGAGCTGACGTTTCCATTCAATTTCACATTGTCTTGTTTTCCCAAAAGTTGTTCTCATCCAGGATGGACTGCATTCTTGGCCCCGCCTAGGTCTCATCAACACCCGCAGTGGGAGTCGAACCATGAAAGTGCACCTTGTAATCTTTTCACATTAACCGCAACAACACACTGCCACGAATGTCTTTGAGTCACTGGGCAGATGTAAATTTCAAGGAAGGCCAGGCATTTTCCCATAGCACATTGTGTGTTGGGATTGTCGATAAAGCAAATTTATATTTGCTATAGCAATCGACAACATTACTTATATTTCGTTTTGAGTGAGCTTTCGTGACTAACAGTAAATCAGATATATGAGTTATATTCACTCTATTTCGTTTTAAGTCAATGAAGGACTGTTCCTATTTGCAGGTTCCTGCGGTGCCAAGATTGTTGGAATTATTTCCATCTCAATTTCTCGTTTTGTCTCCTCAGGGAACTTGTCAGAGATATTGCTTACCTGCAACAGGATGTCTTCCATAAGACGTCTGTCCTTTTGAAGTGAAAATTTAGTTATTTATTCAGGATCGTGGGGCTTTCGGGGTCAGGATGAAGCGAGGATAAATTCTGTACATTTCATCCCGATCCTAGTACTTATCAGTAGATGTCATCACCACGGAAACCACTTCAAACAGGCGAACTGGCTTAAATTTACGCTGGCTTATAACCCTAAACTTAAGAAATTTATTGTCGTGCCATTTTGCTATAAAGTCTGAGATATTACGTAATTTCTTTCTGGCTATACTCTGGAGTTTTTAAAAGCCTTCCGGATTCTGGATCCTTGCCAGATTGCACTGGAGCTTTGATTTGATAAGCTTAAACTTAAATGGCTTATTCTTCTCCGTATCATAAGTTTCACTTAGCTTCTGAATAGAAGCCTGGTTGAGAAACTCATTAACCTGATCCGAATGGTAGGGACTTTTAAGGTCACAGAATTCAGGAGTGATACCATAACGGTAAAAACAGTTTATGGCTTTATTCAGTGAATGGTCTGGCAATATTACTACCGTAGTTTACTCGAAGATATGGAGATGGTGTGATCTTTGGTATGGTTGCAGCCTCCCCCTTTTTTTACCCAATGCAAGGAAAGATTTCTTGGACTGCTTCAACCTGACCAAACGACTGCAGAACAAATGGACTCAGCCGTCGTCTTCCGGTGAGATCTACTTACAACTCTCTAGACCATACGTTTTCATACAAAATATGAGAGCCAACAAGTTAAGTTTGCCAAGCATTGAGACATGCATTAGCCAAATAGGAATCTAACGATATGCACTGCTCAGAGCTAGGCGAGGTCGAAGCTTCGGTCATTGTTCTGGGAAGTAATCAAGGATAGACGACATGGCGAAAAAAGTGTAAAAAATCCAGTCTTGTCTTCTGGCCTCATCTTGGGCGATTGAATCATTACACTCTGGATTCAAGCGGTGACTTGTCTATTTTCACTTACCAAACGAATGTCCTCTCTTTAAGCATTGCTCAATCATCAGGCCTAATCTGCGGCACTTGTTAATCAGAAAGCAAATAAATGGTGGCTCGCAAAAGCCTGTACCACATTTGGAATAGAGAACAGTTAATGTACCTCAGCTTTGTCACCAACCGGTAAAGAAGCCCGATCGAGTTTTCTCGCTGCTGAAATTGGCGGCACTTCTAAATTTGTGTGTCCTTGGATTGATTTGGATTTCTGAGGTTTAGCCAGTGGCCGGCCGAGAAAAATGGCCCACCAGAACCAAAGAGCGAAACTGATAAAAGCGTTGCCGAAGGCGAGTAGAAAGAAGATAGTGAGGAAAAGGGCGCTTAGAAAACTGATCCCAGCACACAGGCCCAAGGTTCCTCCGATGTTGCCCATCAGGTCGAAGAAAGATGTTGTTGACTCCTCCTGCCAAACATCGATCTGTTGAGTGAGTGTACGAATATCAATTATGATTAGTTGTTTCCCTGGAATACCTGGATGGATGAAAACAGTAGGATTATCGATTAAACTAACGCAATTTGGGAGGGTCAGTCTGGACTTAGCAAGTCACTATATTACATTATAATGAGTGTGTTAGTTTAAACTTAAATACTACTAGAAATAAATGAGTGAATAAATATATATATTTATTTATTTATTTATTTACATTTATATATATATATATATATAATGATTCGTTTTCTCCTAATTTGCTTAGTTTGACATTGAGGATGGATAAATAACGTATTTTTCGTATATAATTAGAAG